AGCACCGCGGCTGCCAGAAGCGCAGGTGGCTGATGGAGACACCAGCTCAAATCACAGACTTTCAGCGCTCACAGGAACACAAGCGGCATCAAAGCGACCTCGGCTGCTACACCTGGTGGAATTCGGGGGGAGGAGGGGGGAGCCTTCCGCCTCTCTGGGCGGATGAGCTCTATCGCGTTCCAGTTTCTCCTCCAAATACTGGAGCAGTTTCAAGCGATGCTGGACCCCTAGGGCACCCAACCCCCTGTTGTCCAGGCGGCCAACACCCGGAGCTGCAGAGGGCTGCGTCTGCCGCGACCTCGGCTGCTACACCTGGTGGAATTCGGGGGGAGGAGGGGGGAGCCTTCCGCCTCTCTGGGCGGATGAGCTCTATCGCGTTCCAGTTTCTCCTCCAAATACTGGAGCAGTTTCAAGCGATGCTGGACCCCTAGGGCACCCAACCCCCTGTTGTCCAGGCGGCCAACACCCGGAGCTGCAGAGGGCTGCGTCTGCCGCGGAGGCTAGGAGGGGGGTGCCTGGGGGGGGTCAGAGCCACAGGCTGTGTCCAACGCCAGCCCAGCGCTCGGGAACTGGAACCCTTCTCGCTCTGCCGCGAGAATCCACAAGCTCCTTGTTCGGATCCCCCGGGGCCAGCCACTTGGCTCTCCCCAGGGCTGTGATGCTGCAGCAGGCTGGTGAGTCACAGGCGTGTGTGGAAAGCGGGTGCAGGATGCCAGGTGCACAGGGCGGATGAAGCCAGAACACAGTGCCTGCAGCAGAGACTGTCATCAAAGACCAGGCAGGCGCGGAAGGACTGGGAAGAGGGGAGAGGTCACAGCTAAGAGCCACAGCGAGGAAAGTGCAAAGTAGCAGCTCCTGGGCTAGGAGAGGGAGAGGAAAGTCGGGTTCCGCCGGCAGCCAAGAGGTGAATGACAATCCGGCCCTTTCCCGTCCCACACGTTCGCGCCCCGTAGTTCTCGGACCTCCGGCTGAGAGGAGACAACACCACGAGGAGCTCACACGTCCACGGGCCGCAACAGTCCAACTGTTCCCGGGACGTGTGCGAGGGGCGCCGGCCCTGGAGAGAAACCCACAGGGCAGAGCAGCCCTGGCTCCACTGTGGCTGGGAGGTGGTGGGACCGCCCTGGCTGGGCCAGGCCAGCCAGCAGGCGCTGAGGCTGCGGACCAGGTTAGGCGGCTGTGCGGAGAGCAGTGGAGGACGGGGCTAGACAGGCTGGGGTAGGAGTCGCACAGAGACGCCGGCTACCTAGCTAGGGCCTAGTCCCTCTGCTCAGGGAAGAGGGGAGGGAAGATTAAGCAGCCTGTGATGCTGATGCGAGCCATCACCGCTCCGGTCTCCATGGCTGGGCTGTTCCGCCACCTTCCCCCAGTGCGCACGGCGACGGCTCCCGGAGCTGACGAGCCAGGTGTGCGGCCCGCCCTCTGACTTGACACCCGCTCGGCGGAAGCGTGAGTCAGCGTTCCCCATGCCGAGAGTCGGCGTTCCCACCCGGCTACCAGGCGGTGGGCAGGGACCGGGCTAGAGAGGAGCACTCCAGGGAGACGTGTCTGAACAGTCGCTTCCTCGCCCGCACACGCCCTCAGCATGCCCAGGTGAACCCGGCCGTTGGCCTGTGCCCCCGCATGGGAACACCTGCACATATCAGGCCCGCCCAGCGCTGGCGGCCAGGGAGCCGTGCCAGTGGCTGGCACAACTGAA